TTGCATCCCCTGCAGGAAGGTGAGTGGCACAGGTGGGCCACATGCTGTTGGCTGCAGCTGGCTTTGCCTCGTCCCATCCCGTCCCCTGTGGACATGGCCAAGGAAAGGGAGGGGGAAGGAGGGCCCGGGACTGTTCCCCCGGCAGCTCCATGCCCTGGGCATCCCAGGGCTGGCCCTGCCTGTGGAGCGCAGGGCTGGGCCGTGTTCTGCGGCCTGTCCCGCAGCCCCTCAGCTCTGACCGCGCTCACTCTTTGCCAGATCCAGGACGGGACCGGACACAAGACCAGGACCGTGCCCGTGGTCGCTTCCGCAGATCTGATCAGGTACCTGCAGCCACGACCTCCTGGGCTGGGCCTGCTCTCCCTGCTCAGCCTGGCACCTCTGTCAGAGCTCACCATGGCACATCCCTCTCTTCCCCTCTCTCCGTTCTTCTGCAGGCCTTTCTGAAATTTGTGGGCATTCGGCGTAAAAGGACCACAACCACACCAACTGAGGTCATGGACCAGCCTGACCCCAACCCCACTGAGCTCAAGGCAGACCCTGATGTCACCACTGAACTGACTGATGGCACAGGAAACTGTGACAACCCGCCGATTGTTCACACAGCAAAGTCTGACCCTGCTTTGACTGATGCTACAACAGACACTGACACTCCATCGGTTGATCGCACTGCAATCTCTGACATCGTGTTGACCGATGAACCGACAAACTCTGACACTGCACTGCCTGATCTCACTGCGGAGGCCGACGCTGCAATGACCGAGGGCATTGCAGACACTGACCTCATGCCCAGGGAGAGTGTGAATTCTGCTCCCACTCCAGATATTTTTGAGGAGAAGGGTGTCTCCAGTGCAAAGCAAGTAAGCAGCCTGTGGCCAGGGCTCAAGCCACTCCAGGGGCTTGTGGCCCCTCAAGCCAGCTCCCCTGGGCCCTCTCAGCCTTTGAGGCCAGCACAGTGCGGTGGGAAGGGAAGCACTTGTCAGGGAAGCTGGGCAAGTTGGCAGCTCTTCCCCCCTGCCTCCTGCAGGTGCCAGCCTTCGTCAGGAACCTGCACCAGAGACTGACAGCCAGCGAGACTCTGGAAGAGAAGCTGCTGACGGAGTTCCTGAGGGTGACTGAGGCACACCCTGATGATGTTGTGATGACCCTCCTGCGCTGTGCCCCATCATGTGACAGGTACAGGGCCTCTCTGCCTTCAGGACTCGGGGCTTACCAGCCTTCAGAGCACATCAGCCTGTCCATCCTGTCCCACATGGTCTGCCACAGGGATGGAGAGTTCCAGGACCATCTGGAGCCTCTGTTTCCCAGCCCTGCCATGTCAGCCTCAATCCTGTTGCCATGGTCCCTCCCTGCTCCTCAAGGCACTTTGGCTGGCACTCCCCTGACACAGAACTCTGGCCCCACAGAGCTGCTGCAACCATGTGGAAAACCATCGCCTCATCGGCAATGATAATGGAGAAGGTGCTGCCAAAGCTGCTCTACGTGATGGAGAACTGGCCACGGCACAGCACGTCCACCTCCGACGGGGACAACACACATGTCTTTGGCCTGGCTGTGAGTTTCTGGAACTGGACTTTACTTGCCCACAGGTCGCTTCTCCAGCAGCTCTCCATCCTCCCCGAGCACTGCGTCTCCCTGCCTCAGGCGCTGGGCTGGAAACCTGGCTTAGGGGCGGGTTCAGGGGCACCAGGCTGGGGGCTGCCCCTGCGTCTTCCCTGGCCTCTGCCTCCCACACCTGGGCTCTTTCCCATGGACGTCTGGGCACTGAGAGCTGTGTCTGAGTGGTTTATCTTTCACAGGCAACCAGGGTGATCTGGGAGATTCTCCAGATGCTGCAGTGCCCAGAGCTACTGAAAAAGTATTCCCCCCGTCTCCTCGTGGATCTGCTCTTCCAGATTTCCATCCACACAGAGCAGACACCAGAGGAAGTTGACACCTTGTGGAGGGAATGCCAAAAGCAATCCAACCTTCCCACAAACTCCAAGAGGTGCTCAGTCCCAGTCCTCCTGACCCTCTCATGCCCTCGGGGCTGCTCAGGGCTCCCAGGATGATGACCTGGGCTTTGCTCTGCACACAGGTTTGCAGTGCTGACCACCAAGGCCCTGCTTTGTCATCTCGAGTGTGAAGATGTCATGGTTGCAATGGAACAGAAGCGTGGCTGGGACACACTCCTCAACTCTGACACCCACCACTATGCAGTGGGTCTGCTGGCCAGGTGAGACACCCTTGTCCCCGCTGCCCCTGTCCTTTCTGCCTGTGCACGGGGCACCCCACACAGTACCTGTGGTCGTGGGCCAGAGGGCCTTGTCACCCACGGATGACTGAGCAGAGTGGCAAAGGCTGGGAGAGGCAGGTGCACAGGAGGAGCCGCCTCCCAGAGTGCCCTCATCCCCTCCCAAACCGGTGGGGAGAGACCAGGACTCTGTCAGTGAGTCCCGGCAGAGGTTTGCCCACCCGGCTCAGGGTTGATGGTGCCTGTTTCCCCCGGGCAGGGAGATGCGCCGTGCCTCGAGCCCCATGTATTACTGGATTGCCCGCTGCCTGCTGAGGCTGCTCACCAGGGAGATGCCACGCTGGGAGCTTCCTGCCATGGCATTCCTTGTGGAGGTGAGCCTGATGGCGAGCGCTGCCTTGCTGACCTGCCTCCACCTCTCTGCCCTCTGGCAGCCGCAGCTGCCCGGGACGGTGCCGCGCCCTGTGCTGCTGCCTGGGCCCAGCCCGGTGCGGCTCTGGGCTCCTGCCGGCCGGGCACCCCATCACTGCTCCCTGCCTTTCAGGTCCTGGACTGCCTGGACATGACTGAATGGAGTAACAGCTTGGTGAAGATCTTTTCAAGGTGCCTGCGGAGCAAGCGCACAGAGATGCGTCGCCTGGTGCTCAGAGGCCTCGTGGTGCTGAGCAAGGATCCTGTGATGGTGAGGAGGGGGCAATTGGCTGAAGCTGTGCCGGCAGCCTGGGGCTGGGGAGCGCAATGGCTTGGGCTTGGCTGGGCCAAGGGGAGGTTTAGGTTGGGTGGTAGGGAAAGGTTCTTCACTCAGAGGGTGGTCTGACGCTGGAACAGGCCCCACTGGGGAGAGGTCACAGCCCCAAGGCTGCCAGAGCTCAAGGACAACACTCTCAGGGACACGATGGAATTGTTGGGCTTGGTCCTGTGCAAGGCCAAGAGTTGGACTCAATGATCCTTGTGGGTCACTTCCAACTCGGGATATTCTAGGATTCCATGCTTCATGGCTTCACAGCACAGCATTGTGTTCCACACAGGCTGACGGCATGCGGAGCCTGACACCAAACCTCATGGATTGTGCTGGTTTAAAAGTTAACCAGCAAGGCAAAATGAACTCAATTCA